CAAGGTTTCCACATTGTGAGAAACTTCGTGTAGTTGAGACCACCAAAGGGTTTTGGGTGGCTTTTCATTTGGAAAAATCAAGCTATAGTGTGGGGGAACAGGGGATTATTCCAAGAGAGACAGGTTTTTGTTTTTTTTGCATTTTGTTCAACAGTCACACAGAGTATTAGTATTACTCTATGTATATATTAAAATTGTAGAGCTTACTAAACACTAATGTATTTTCATACTCAGAAGTGTTGACAACATTTGATAATATTCCCTCAGTTTTAAGGGAGGATAATTTATTATCAGAGAATTGGAAATGTTTTCTTGAGTTAGCCTGGATTTTTAAATGCTGTTATCCTTGTTTTTTAATTATAAATTAATTTTTGGTTTAGTTAATCACTACCATTTTATTTTCTGTTGGGATATATTACTAAGCTTTCCATGCATAGGCTTATATATTTGATCCAATAATATTTCTAGATTATAATATTCCCAAATCATTGAATCCCAATGTACTCTAATTTGAATATGAATCATTCATTTCCCCATTGCTGAAACAGATGTCTGTATAATTTCTCTTGTTTATCCCTTAACTTATATAAGGATGACACTTTCTCAATAACCCTGTATTTATTTTCTCATGGTGGGAGTGATGTAGGAGAGTGCGTAGATCATGGAAACTTTACTATAAGCAAGTAGTTTTCATTGCAAAGCTGTTGGTATATACAAAAATCTATATTTCTTCCCATATATCCTGTTTGTTGGGAGGTACTTTACTGATGAGATGTATGTTTTTTTTTTTCCTCCTGAAATTCACTAGATTAACAAAGGCAGAGACACAGAAAATATGTTAGTCGATCAGCTCTTTAATGAAGGTGGTTTTTGTTGTTCATTTGTTGTTTGTTAGGGTTCTGTGTGTGTGTGTGTGTGTGTGTGTGTGTGTGTGTGTTTGTATATGTGTGTGTGTGTGATGCTGAGGGAAGAATCTAGGGGTTACTCATGCTGAGTAGTCTACACTGAGCTGTTCAAACCTACTCCTGCAGTGAATTTTAGTTGTTAGCAGTCATTCAATCCCTGAAAAGTTAGCCAACTTTATAGTTTCTTTTCTTTTTATTTTTTTTGTCTTTTTGAGACAGCATCTCACTATGCAGTTCAGACTGGCTTTGAGCTCTCTTTGTAGCCTAGGCTAGTCTTGAATTCGCAAACGATCCTCCTGAGTGCTGGGATTACAGGCATGAGCCACCATGCCCGGTTTAGTTTCCATTTTTCTTTCTTTCTTTTTCTTTTCTTTTCTTTTCTTTTTTCTTTTTTTTTTGGTCTTTTTCGTTTTTGTCAGTACCAGGGATTGAACTCACGACTGCACACTTGTAAGGAAGGCGCTTACACTGCTGAGCTAAATCCCCAGCCCCTAGTTTCCATTTTTCAACTGTAAACTAGAATAGTAATATTTTCTACCTTAGGCTATTGTGAGGGACAATGAGATGGTAATAATAATAATGCAGAGTAGATAAACTTTATAACAGGTAAATTGCTTTGGAAACATATCAAAGACAATGTGGTAATAATAATTTCCACCAATATTTATGGAACAGTGACTGGAACAGTACAGAATTTGAAATGATCCTGGTCAATGATAATGGAATAATTTTGGTGATACTAACTGATTAAGCCTTATTATTAAAAAATCACTTTTAGATGTAAATAATGAGTAAAGAACTGATGTGGTATAGGAAAAGAGATTATAATATTTCATTCAATTACATGGCACAAGATCAATGTCAGAGATATTTTTGAGATGAATATATTCATGGACAATGATGAAACTTTGCATTAAGAATATATCTTTTGTTTGTTTAGGATTTATTTTATTTAGAAATGAGTATTTGTTATCTGTTTTTTTCCTAATTTCTTTTTTTTTTTTATTAGTATGTGTTTTCAGTATGCAGTGATTGCATTGGTTGTGGGGAGTTGGTGCATGTACAGAACACAGTTTAAAAAAAAAAACAAAACAAACTCTTCCCCCCTTCCTTTCATCTCTTGGACTCCTTCTGTTTTGCAAAGGATTGACCGCCCTGTTTCATGCTGTTTACCTTTTATTTTGCTCTTTAATTATGTTTTGGGTTTCTCAGATTGTCAAGATCGTGAAATACTTAAGATCACGTGTTTGATTAATTTCACTTCACATTATGGTCTCAAAGTGCATCCATTTTCCTACAAATCACCTGTTTATTCATCTTTATGGCACAGCAATACTATGCTCAGATATCACATTTTCTTTATACTTTCATCTGTGGATGAACATATACGCCACTTTCAAAATTTAGATACTTAATGTGCCTTATATTGGGCTGGGGACTTAGCTCAGTGGCCTAGGAGTCTGCCTGGCAAGTATGAGGTTATGAGTTTGATTGGTCTCCAGTACCAAAAAAAAAAAAAAAAAGTCCTGTCTAATGTGCTGCTATAAATGTGGGTTTGCATGTTTCAGTGTATTATGATGTCTTCAACTCTTTTGGGAATATACCTAGAAGGGGAATAGCTGGGTCAGATGGAATTTTTAGTTTTAGTTTTATGAAAAATTTCCATACTGATTTCCGTAGTGGTTGTACTATTTCGCCTTCCCATAAACAATGGAGCGAAGTTCCCTTTTCTCCACAGCATCCCCAGAATTTGCTATTGTTGATTTCTTAATGATGGCCATTCTGGAGTAAGATGGGATCTCAGTGTTGGTTTCATTTGCATTTCTCTAATGGTCAAAACTGAACCTTCTTTCATGTATTTATTGTCCACTTTTGTTTCTTCTGTTTGTTCATTTCAGTTGCTTGTTTTTTTGATGGGCTTTTTATTGTATTTTTTTTAAGTTCTTTATATATTCTAGATATTAGTTCTCTGCCTGAGAGAGAGCTGACAAATGTTTTTTCCCCATTCTGTAGATTGTCTCTTACTTTAGCACATGCAGACAGTGCTCAGCATAAGACCACTCAATGGGGTTTCCTGCCCACTCAGTGGCTGAGCAGAGAGAGAGCTACATTCAGGCTTTCGTGATTGGTCTGCACTCCTGTCTTCCGTGGGGACCTGCTAAATGGGCATTATAGGCGCCTGACCACGTTTAGGCCACTTTGAGACTGCAAAGTAAACAACACAGACCAGGCTGAGAGAATGAAGAGTGTAGTTTGGAAAGGCTGTTTGGGAAAGAGATTGAGAGAAAGGTGAGTGTGAATAGTTCCCTTGCTATGCTTTAACACTAGTGCAATTTCTAAGCCTTTTTCATGGAAAAGACTTCCAATGTTCTTCATAATGGTGTTTTTATGTGTTTCTTATTTCACATGGTATCTTTTGAAAAGATAACCTAATTGTAATCTTAAAAGTACTCACTTGTATAAGACAGCTGTAAGCTTTAATGAGGAGCAAAATCTCCCCCTAAAGTTAGCGAATTTGGATTTGGAGATTGTGGTGGATTAACTAATGGTCAGTTTGTACCAGCACTGAACTGAATCGGTGTGGTTCTGGGCATGGAAGATCCAGCTGAGGATTGTTACCAATGGCATAAAAGAAGAACTGAGGAGGAAGGTGACGTGCTGCTGATTCTCCTGGACAAGCTTGTCACGCTGCCTTTCCTGATACGAACTCAGCTGTTTTCATCCTAGGAGAGTTCCGTTTCATGCTGTCACTGAGGATGATTTCAGTTCTTTTTTGCTGGAGCTCTGGTCCTTAACCCTAAGTGTCACTTTCTGGCTCCCGTTCAGATCCCTCAGCCTGCTGGCACAGGTCCTTCATTCTGCTAGTGCAGCCTTTGTAGCTTTCACTGACCTTTGGGCCTTCCCAGTGCAGATGCCCAATACAGACTGGCATGACACCTGTCATGAGCTCTAGGCCTCCAGCTGGACTTGTGGAGGATACTGCATTGGGATCCGGCTCTCTGCTGGAATCTTAGGTTCTCTAGTATGTGAACACATCTCCCATACTCTTTTGCATTTGACTTGTTGAATAACTATTATAAAGTAATCTTGTAAATTATGTGTCTTTTATGAAATCTATTCTATAGCAAACTTGGACTATACTAGAAATCCTGTAAATGTAAAGGCTTTTGAGATAATAAAGCGCCTCATGGGTAACAGAGAGGAATACTGTAGGGTATCCCAAGAAACGTGTGACATTAGCTTTCATTGAATATTTATTTCAGGGCTTTAAGAAGGATCAGAACCAGATGATTTTTTGCCCATTAAACTAAAGAATCTGCATGTAAAGCAAAGAGTGGTGAATACAAATCCCAGAGCCAGTGTCTGTGTTTGAATCTCTGGTGCGATCTGTTTTACCTTCCCCATCTACTGCATCTCCCAGTGTTGAAGTTTTCTTATCGGTGAAATGAAGACCATGATAGAACCAATCCTAAAAGATGGTTTATAAACTTATAAGAGTTAATATAGGAAAAGTATTTAGGAAATTGCCCTGTGTCTCAAAAGAGTGTCTTCTAAGTGTTAGCTGTTATTATTGGCTTAGTCTTTAAGACTGTGTTAAGTTTTGTCTGGTCATCTGACCTGAAAAGTGCTAAATTACCTAATCTGTCTAAGGTCACTGTATATAAAATATGAGGAAGCATATATGTCCCGAATAGGTGCTTGTCACTATTTTTATCATTTTTATGTTACAATCTCAAAGCATGCTACTCAGTATTGTTTTCCTTTTCATGCATATACAAAGATTGGCTATTTTAATTCTTCAGTATCATTTAAAGATTTATACATTTGCTTGCTCTGGAAAGCTTGTGATTGTGTTTACTAAAACATATGGATGCTTACTATAAATACTTCATTCCTAGATTTGCCTTCACATGTGTCTATCAGGCATATTGGCAATACTTTATTGCTAGTTAAGTAATATCTATTATATAAATGTGTATAATGTGCTTCACAAGATAATTTCATCCTCATATTAATTATTTGAGAAAAATGCAAATATTTAATTAAATGTAAAACTTGATCCTATACATATTTATTTGCTCCTTCTATTCTCAGGGTAAATTCAATACGATTAGTACCAGCATAATTTCGACTGACTTCTATGAAGAAGATTTCACAGTCACCTGAAGCCACAGCCTGGAACTGTCATTATGGAAAGCCTCCAAAAGGAGCTTGGAAAATCTTGGGAGGATTTCTTAAATCTTATGAAAAAAGAGAAGAAGTAAAGTAAAAGGAGATTTCTCTTCACAAAGAACCTGAAAATGTAGCATTGCAAGCGAAGGCATGCTTAATCTATTGACATTTAAACTCATAGTACTCAGGTTTCTTTTCCATTGTTCATTTAAAATCATTATTCACTTCATTTCCACAGCACTTAAAAAAATGCTGCATTTTCTTGAGCCACAAAAACAGATGAAAATTGAGATGCAAGGGTTCAGTATTTTAAAAGTATTTGTAAAATTGTTTTTTTAAAAGATCACATGTTAATAAGCAATAAAGCTGATACATCAAGAAAAGCTAGAGTAAGGTATGGTGTAGTTTATTTGGCTCTGTTTCTATCAATATGAATCCTGAAAAATCTCTCATTATGTCTTCTCTTTGCAATGTATTTCTTAGATGATTGAAAACGGATAAACATATTGATGAAAAATTAAGGGTCTCTGATGAGTTTTTGAATCTCTTAAATTGCTGTTAGCTCATGAACATTAGTATGTGAACATTATACTCCAACATTTTTTGCCTTCTTAAAGGATTGTAAGTCAAAATATTTTATATAAAATATTGACAAGACTGTTGTTTTCTTTTCTACATTTTTTTAAAAGACTTGTTTTCTTGTCTTGATTTTTTGCTGTTACCTTCAAGCTATGCTATGTTTTTGACATTACAGAAACTTAGAGTTTGCATTCTAAATTTGACTCTATAAAGGGCCTCTGCTATTGTTTGTTACATTTTAAAAGTGTAAAAGCATATTCCCTTGAGGATAAAAAAAAGCTCAGAATTTCACTCATTCACTCATTTACATTGTGACTTGCATAAAACGGAACATTTATAATTATTCTGCTACCTGTAGAATCCCAAAATTTTAACATTTGGGTTTGATGATATCTTTTTTTTTTTTTTTTTTTTTTTTTGTCTTTTTCCTTTTTATCGGTACCAGGGATCGAACTCATGACTGCCTGCTTACAAGGCAGGCACTTATGCCGCTGAGCTAAATCTCCAGCCCCGGTTTGATGATATCTTAATAAAATAGCTTAAATGGTCACCAAATTGAACCTGGTATATTCATACAATTTTTAACATTGTGAATGAATACATTGAAAACATTGTGGAGGAATAAAGGGGCTAATATGACCCTATGGTTGTATTTAAATGTTCCCTAAAAGCCCAAGTGTTAAGGGCTTGGTTAGGTGGCTGAGGTACTACCTACTGAAAGGTGGTGGACTCTTTAGGAGGCGGGGTCTAGAAAGAGGAAGTTAGGTCACTGGGGGTATGCCTTGTAGAAAGGATTGGGACATTAGCCCCTTCTGGGACTTCTTTTTAACCTTCTAGTTGCCATGAAGTAAGCAGTCTCTTGTACAGTGTGCTCTGTCCAAAAACACTGTGAGTCACAGACAATAAACCCAAACCACCCTTACTGAACCCTCTGAAATCACAACCCAAATTCAACTTTTCCTCTTTATAAGTTCAGTTATTTTGTCACAGTAATTAAAAGTTAACTGACACACATGGGGTCATTTACATACGAGAACTTTGTTACTTCTGTTTTTCAGTTGATTGCTGCCTAAATACATAACGAACCACAGGAATGATTAGAAATGATTCTATAATATTATTTAAAATCTTTTTTCAAAATAGTCTATATTAGAAATTTTCCAAAAATTATCTTTTAAAACGTTACCCTTGTATCCTGTTTGCTTCTCCTTCAATGAATTGTAGTTATTTTTGCATGTAACATCATATTATACACATTCCAGCATTTACATTCCCAGATACACAGCACAAATTAAGAAACCTGGCAAAATTAATGTAAGCACTTGCAGAATAAGAAAAGGCCAGAAAGATGAAGAAAATTGGAGAAAAGACCTACTCATGCAGTAGTGGAAGACCTCTCCCTGTGTTCCACGAATTCTATTAACTATCGGTTTTAAGCAAAAGTTAAAAAAAATCATAAAATCTTCTCAAAATCCTAAATATTTTATTTTTCTTACTAAAGTTTCTACAATATTTACTATTTTCTCTTTGCACTCAGAAGGTGAATGGCACTTGTAAGATTAAAAGCCAACTGTGTACTTTTATTTGAACTATAGAATCTCTCTGTCAACCTAGCTCATTTGCATTTCTCCAAAATATCCAGCTTAGTCCATCTTAGTGACTTGTCCTGAGGATCAACATCCAAAATCCTGTAAGTAAAACTCTGAAGAGCTCTCATAAACTACAAATGTACTACAGATTTTCTAGAAGTACTATAGTTCTGTTTATCAAAAGGAAACTATAAATGATGTACTCTAATTTTTATAAAAGTAGCATTTATCTAGACACATACTATTTGATCTGAATATGTCTTCCATGTTAGAGAGGGACCATTTAGTTTTGCTAGACATGTGCCTCTATGTTATTTATGTGATCAACATACCTTGTTGAGTCACCACATTGTCAGCGATGATTTTATGGGTAAGAAACAGGATAGCAGTTAGAGTGTCTCAAAAGAGAAGTTATTTGAGTCTGCCTTTCTGCACCTGGATTACCACTAAGCTTCCTGGACTACCCATGACTTGGTCAGCAGGGGTGTCAAGATAAAGCTGTACTGACACATATTACCTATGGCTGCAGAGATAAAACCAGCCCCGGCTCTGTTTTTTAGACGATCTGTTCTGAGGCCGGAAATGTTGTATCTACTCAGAACTAAGGGGCTACTTTTCCAGTTATCAAAAGGTAACTCCCTCTGTTCCTTTGGAATCTTCATCCATCTCTTCAGGTTCATTAGGATCATTCTTAGCCCTGTAGAAAATGCCAGCTTCTTCACGACATATTTTAGATAGTTTTGCTCTAGGTCCTAACTATTATCAGAACAAAGAAAAGTTTCCTGATCTTATTTTTGACTATCACCACAAATCCATCGTATTAGAGCAATACCAGTCATCTTGCTTTCTTGTTGCTGAGTCACAGTACACAACACCCACAATTTAAAGGAAGAAAGGTTTGTTTTGTCTTGCAGTTTATAACGATTTCAGTCCGTAGTATCACTTGGCTCTGAAGCAGAATGGCATGGCAGAAGGTCATAGTAGAGGAGAAATAGCTTGTGGCTTGGGAGCAGGAAGCAGAGAGGAATCAGTGGAGAAGACTGAGACACATCTTCTCAGGCCATATCCACAGTGACCCTGGCTCCTCGACCAGATTTCACTTCCCACCATCACATTGAGCTAATAAAAGCGGGGATAATCTGCTAATGAGTATCATGCCCCCGTGATCCAATCATGAATGCTTGAGGCTTTGACCAAACCACCCTTAGTAGTCTTCCACTACTGCATGAGTAGGTCTTTTCTCCAATTTTCTTCATCTTTCTGGCCTTTTCTTATTCCGCAAGACCTAAATGACCTAAATGAAACTATATCAAGTGAAACTATATCAAGACAGAGTATAGAACCCGAAGAAGTTAGTGTGACATGTTATTCTTCCATTCATAGCCATTGCTCTTGGTCCCTTGGGGTCAAAATATTATGCCTCACAGACTTTCCTGCCTTCATTTTGACTGTTTCACTGTATAGTATTTAGGTTGAAATTTGCTGTTTCTGTAGACTTTAACATAGCATTATGAAAGCATGAAAGTACATTATTGGTATGGTTTAGAAAGTTTTAAATTTTGGATTGTACACAGAGAAAGGATAAAATTATACATACGAGTGCAAAATTAATCTGCAAAGCAATCTTTAAATATCCCTATACATTTTGTACTCAAAAATCATTATTTTCCATTCATTGAAAATCATTCAACTATCCAAGAATGTAGAATTATTATAGCATATAAATTCTAGAACTTGTGTCTTGTTCCTGGAAATAATTACACTGACTGAGTCACTGGTGTTTGAAGTAGATTTTTTGTGGTTGTGCAGGAGGACACTCTGAGAGCTTCAGAAATTTAAGCTAAATGACTGAGGGAAAAAAAAAGAAAAGGTCTATAAAGCTGTGAATACCTATTTTAGTAAAGGATGCAAAAATTTCAATAAAGAAATAATTGGTAATCTTGAATTCAGTGACAGAAAATAATAAATCTATCTCTTTTATGAAGTCTTTTGTGTGAAATATGGATGAGGCGAGGTTATAAAAAAGCATGTTTACCAGCAGGAGCCTAAATCAACAGCTTTGAACATGGTAGTTCAGAAGGTAGCAGGGCTCCACTGTTCCTGACATAGGCAACATCGGCATTCATTTATTTAATATTTTACTTTCCCACTGAATCCAATCTTCCTCCTGCCCTACTCCTCCTTACCTCTGTCCTTAGTTAAGATAAATCATGATGGCATTAAATCTGTCCACCACAGTTAATTACTTTAGTTATGTGCTAAAGCATTTTGTTCCAGCACCTTCTCTCTATGGGTTTTGAAGATACAGCTTAATATTCATTTGCATGCTGGTTACTGTACATCTTCAAACCTTGAAGACTATGTCAAGTGCTCTAAGGAATAATGAAATATTAATTTCAAGACAAAAAATTAAGTGGCTTAAAGAAGCTGTTGTCTATCCCAGGAGTGGCTTTCAAGACATTGATATCTATTCTTCGAACCTATCTATACTTAGCCATGCAAACCACACATGACGAGCCCTAAGTAACTGTCTGCCTTCAGTGGAGAAGTGCACGGATTGAAACTACTGATTCCTTCTTCTGTCAGATCATCGCTCAGAAAATGGATCCCCTTTTCTTATCTGCAGTCTTTTATTTTTTTGACAGCATTATACCAAGATAAAAGATCCATTACTGTCATGTAAACACTAGGAAAATAAATCTAATGCGTAAAGGAATAGTAACATCTAAATATGTAGTGGCATGTCTGCATACAGATTTGGTAATGTAATTCCATACTTACTTCATTAAATACTTTATTTGTGGAAACAAAATGACAAATGCCAAGCAAAGCCTCTTTTTTTGCTTATTGGAAAAACTTACATTATTATGCCTTTTTATATGTCAGAATTGGTCTTGCCTATACAAAGTTTTACAAAAATGATTCAGACAAAAAAGGATGGGAATGAGTTATTATAAGTAATGGCTTACCACTAGTGTTCAGTAAATGTTGAGCAATGGTGGAATAGTTTTGGGAAGTAAAATATAATAACTTACTTTGGGCTAATCTATAGTTGCCTTTAAATGGGAAACTGTATTCAGTAATATAATTTGAAGATGGTATCAGCTTTTGTGTTTCAATGCCAATTGCTCTGCTAGCAGGAGTGGTGTGAATGCTTAATTGATTCTTAAATAACACTTATTTGTAACTGGTTTTCAGGACAGGAAGGGACGTAGCTGTAAGAACATGGGAATAACAACAGTACGGATGTCTGCAGGGGTGAAGCAGAGGTGCTTGTGAAAATGCTGAGTGGATACACAGACTAGCAGCCACTTAGGAGAGCCTCAGAGCAACAAGATAAGAGAATGGT